CTTCTGATGCAAACTGCTACTCAACAGGTTCTTTTTAATGTTTCATTATGATAGCATTTTTAATGTTAATGCCATGCAGAAGACAGCATTGACAGGCTAGTAAACAGGATATGAATGAATTGTGAAGATACAAGACAGAAACAGAGTTTGATACATTGTGGTATCCCACAGCAGACACTAGACAGAGAAACCGTTTCCACAGTGATTCTAAAGGGCAGCTTTTGGTAGGAGGTGAATCCAGTCAGGCAACTTTTCAATGTCATGGGCTCTGGAATAATGGCATTTGAGACTTATCCTTTAGTGACAGCCTAGCTTGAGACAGTGATGGTCTTGTCCTGAGTCAGAAATGGCTCAACATGACCACATTCCAAGCTGGTGTCCACATTTTTCGGCAAGGCCTTGTCATGTAGGGTTAGCTCTGCCTGAGGAGATAATAGTCCTTCTCAGAGGCAATTGCCACCTTTCTCTGAGCCCACCCAGCCTGCTGTGAAGCAAAAGCAGCCTTGTTCTGAGACTAGACTAGCACAGCCATCCATCCATCCCAGAATGGTATTCATGATTAATGCATTCACATTCTAGAAAATTCAAAAGGCATACAATGGAATGCCCAGTCCTTCCCAGAGCCGTGCAGTCTTGGTGCCCAAGAGCCAACGTGACCGGTTTTGTTTGTTTTTGTTTTTTCTTTCTGAGACAGGGTCTCACTATGTAGCCCTGGCTAGCCTCGAACTCACTATATAAACCAGACTAGCCTGGGATTCACAGAGATTTACCTGCCTCTGCCTCCTGAGAGCTGGGATTAAAGGTGTGCACCACCATTCCCAGCCCATGTTCCGTTCTTTATGTACCTTTCAGGAAAAAAAAAAAAATCTCTATGCAGTCAGTGAATTACATAGCAATGTTCTGGTCAACCCAGGCCACAAATACAGTTGTGGTCTTAGGATATTGTCTAAGCTGGATATGGCTACACATACCATAATCCTACTTGGGAGGTGGAAGCAGGAGGATGATCATGTCTTCAAGGCCAGCCTGAGCTACACCATGAGATCCTGTCTCAAAATAAAAATTAGGGACTGGCAAGATGGCTCAGAAGGTAAAAGCACTTGCTACCAAGCCTGGTGACCTTAGTTTGATCTTGGGACCCACACAGTGGAAGGTGAGAACCAGCTCCCAAAGGTTGTCCTCTGACTTCTATACACACACACACACACACACACACACACACACAAATGTAATAAAAACACTTTTTAAAAAAAATCACTTCCATTTCTCAGAATTATCCCTAAAGTTAGGTAGCACCTGTGTAGTCCCATGCTCATTCGCCTTCTTTGGTAAACATATGTGGAGCCAGTCTAGGATACATAGCAAAACTCTGTCTCAAAAAACAAAGCAACGGGGGGGCTGGAGAGATGGGTCAGCAGTTAAGAGCATTGAGTGTTCTAACAGAATCCCAGTACCCACATGGTGGCAACATCCATAACTCCAGTTCCAGGGAATCCAACACCCTCCTCTGTTCTCCATGGGCACTGCACAACATGGGTGCACTTATACACATGCAGGCGTAACACTCATACACATAAAAAATAAAACATGGGGCTGGAGAGATGGCTCAGTGGTTAAGAACACTGACTGCTCTTGCAGAGGACCCGGGTTCAATTCCCAGTACCCACATGGCAGCTATGACCCATCCTTAACTCCAGTTCCAGAGGAATCCGAAGCCCTCTTCTGACCTCCACAGCATTATATGACACAGGTGCACTCACATACATGCACATAAACAAGCAAAGCAAAAGGTTGGGGGTGGTGGCAGACACCTTTAATCCTAGCACTCAGGAGGCAGACAGGTGAATCTTGTGAGATCAAGCCAGGTCAAGTCATCTGAAGCTACAGGGAGACCCTGTCTCAAAAAAAAGAAAAAAAATTGGGGGGGTGTTTGAGGCTTTTGTTGTTTTTTTAGTTTTTTGAGGCAGCCTATGTACTCTATGTACCCAGACTGGACTTAATCCCACTTAAGCCCCCAACCTGGGCTACATAGGCCCAGGTTGCCCTCAAACTTGTGGCAGCCCTCCTGCCTCTGATGCCAAGAATGCTGGGATTACAGGGGTGCACTACTGCAGGAAGTTTAAGAAGAAAATGTGTAAGGGGCTGGATTAATCACTCAGTGATTGAGTGCCTCCTGCTCTGCAGAAAATCCAAGTTCAGTTCCCAACACCCATATTAGGCAGCTCACAACCACTTGTAACTTCACATGCACAGAACACACACTATACATAATTTTAAATTTATTTTTTTTATCTTATGTGTATTTGTGTACTGCCTCCATGTAGGTAAGTGCACCCATTGTTGTACCCCATCCACTGGACCCCAAAGAGACCCGAGAACCCAACACGCCAAAATGCAAAAGCAAAGGTTTACGGTTTATTCGGGCTTAAGCTCGGGCTCTCAGACCTCACCAACTCAACGGATCCATGCTGAGAGCCCAGAGTAAGGGAGAGTGGAGCCTTTTATAGGTTTAGAC